CTCAGCCCTCCACATCCTTTTCCTCAGCCCTCCACATCCTTTTCCTCAGCCCTCCACATCCTTTTCCTCAGCCTTGCCATCCCCCACGGCTCCCCACCCCCTTAATCCTCACGTTCATCCCCCCATCGGTCAACCTCGGCCTCTTCATTCGGCCCCCTACATCCCCACCTCTGCCCTTCCCCTCAGCTCATCCAGTCCATACCTGCATAGAACACCTCAGCTTCTCCAGGCGGCCCCTCGTTTCCCCCAGCCCGTCCCTCGGCCCCTCCCATCCAGGCCCCATCTCTCACTGCTCCCCTCAATCTTCCATCCAGCCCCTCTGTCTCTCCACCCGCAACCTCTCTGTCACATTTCCAAACTCTCCAGCCCCTTGTACTGTACCCACATCTGTCTGTTCACTACCCCACTCATGTTCCCAGCCTCCTTTTTGCCCATCTGTCATCTTGTTCTTCCTCTGTTCTGCACTTTATAAAACCCCAGTTTGCCCACCAGACTGCCTGCGACCCTTCTTTAGTCCTACATCCATCTCTCCGTGATTCCACCGGAGAGTTGCCTCACTCCTACCTAGGGTTCCTCCTTTAGTGCTGCAGTCCCAGCCCCTTATTCCTCCCTCTCCTTGTTTCGGATGCTCATATCCGCTAAAACTCCTGATTCTTAGGCTAACAAAACAATTCCAGGTTCCTGGGTTTTCTCTCACGTTGCCTTCCCTTGACACCCTGGCATGTCTTTTCCTTATGTTGGTTTTGCACCAGTTTGCTTGCCCAGAAAAGCTAATTCACAGAGTCTGTCTTTGATCTTAAGATTTGGTTTTAATCCTGTTTCTCCTTCCCATCCACTGATAGATTTCTATGAACCCTCAGAGCAGCAGCATCGCCCCCACACTGTGAATAAGAGTCGGAAGCAAACGCAAAGAGAAAAAGCCCTCCAGCAGCAATGTCAGAAGCTGGGACTGCAGGGTGGAGCAGCCTCTGTTCCTCCTGAGCAGTTGCTTTCTGTACCAAAACACAAGCCTGGTCATCCTCAGCAGCCTGTGCCACCACCTCATCCTCCTTCAGCGGCAGATCAAAGGCAAGGTGACCACCGAGACCAGCAGAAGGAAGTGACGCCGGTAGATCCTTGTAATGGCAGTGACAATGTGCAGAACTGCCCTGCAAAGCCAAACTCCAAAGTGGAGAAAAAGAAAGTGGCATTGTTAGTAAGTCGGTAAAATCAGGGGATGGGTTTTATTCTGTATTGATTCATTCTTTCGTTGTACAGTAAAGTGAACTTTCCTGTATCTAATAGGAAGGTTTGAGAGATCATGTTTGCTTCCTCTGAATTGAACTTTTGTTTTTCATCTCTGCTTGGGTTAAACCTGATTCAAGACCAAATTCTGTAGTGTAATCCATGCAGATACGCACCGTGCTGTCTTCAAATAATTTCCTGTGGTAGTGGGACTGTACATCATAAAGCGCCCAAGATGTAGGGCTGTCTTAATGGTTTACGAAGACTTAATCTCACCATCGTGCTGCATAAACAAGCCAGCAGCCACAACAAAAAGCCCTTTTGGAAGTAGATATGCCATGATTTGTGTAACTTTGTGTTCCCCTTCACAATATTGCTGCAGATTTGTTAATGCTAAAAGTGTTGGTAAGGAGGTAAAATTTCAGGTTTAAGCAGTTCTCTAGCTTTTATGATTCAAGATGAGACCAATCTCAAGGCTCTCACCCTGTGCATCAGCCCACAGTGGGGTGTCCGTCCCCCTCAGAAGCTTCAGATTGGTACATGTGAGAGAGAGAAAGGAAAAAGTACTGCACATGGCTCTCTGGGATTCTGACTGAATGTGGCAATTACTTAGTTCATCATCCAGAATTCACATAGTAGCCTATAGAAGGAAGCTGCTGTCTAAATGCTAGAGAGGGCAGGCTTTATCAATATGGGAGATTACTTGTTTTTACCTCTTCACGTTTGTTTTCCTGTCTGTATCCAAGTGCTAATTTTCTTTTTCCCCTCAGTGGGCAAAGCAAAGTATGAGGGGCAAAAGGATGAATTCTTTTTCTAGGGCATATAGTTTATTTTTAAAACACCTTAAAAATGCTGCTCCAGCCTTGAGTTCCTATGCAGGTCCAAACTTTTCTGCCCAATATAATCAACAAACACTAGCTGGCCACCAAACTTCCATGCATCATTTGTATTCCCCCAAAACAGGGATCAGCAGCTTTCCAAGTGTGGTGTGCCAGACCCTATCTCCGGTTAGATCTGTCCATAGAATCTCAGAGGGGACTGAAGGAGCTTCCCGCTGGAGAGGCAGGACTGTGGCAGTCAGCAGCACTTGTGTGGAGAGGCAGAGCGTGGCTTCTCTCGAATTCAAAACTCAAAAGGATCCAGGAGGGTCTGTTTTGCACAGATGTGCCTTGAGAGGCTGCAGCTGCTGGCCATGCTGCCTGCCATTTACCTGCCCGGCTCTTGGCTGGGAGCACCTACCTGCAGATAGCTGTCCCTTCACCAGAATAGCAGCGCTTTGAAGAGCAGTGCCAAATTCCTCATGTGGGTGCAGCTCACCAGTAGTACTGACTCTTCAGCTCCTTCCTGGTGGTGAAAAATACAGACGCTATTTGACTGGGGAGAAGATAGCTAAAGCTTTGCAGAGAAGTTTTTCACTCTGTGGGGAGCAAATGACACTTAGCTGCAACAACCACCCCCTGAATCTGCTGAATTCATCTCGGCCTGTGCACTTGAATTTAAATCTTATGAAAAATATTTCTCTAGATGAGGTTTTAGGAAGTGATGAGGAGAAGTCTGAAGAGATATTCTTGTGCAGAAATTGTTGTTAAGAGTAACATAGCTGAGTTACTTGGCTGTTTTTAAGCTAAGCTATTTTTAAGCTGAGACTTCTTGAGAGAGGGCATGAAGAACATAGCAGGGTAGAAAAGCAGCAAAGCTGGTTTTGTTTCTCCTTAATCCTGCCCAGTTGTGTTGGCACACGTTGTCCCCTCTCACCTGAGACCTCACCTTCCATCCTCTGGGGCTGGTTTTCTCTTTTAGTAG